AATAAATATGAAAGCATTTTGGAGAATTATCTTCTCTCTCTCTCTCTCCTCTCTTTCACTTTCTCTTTCGTCCCATCAGTATTTCAATCTGCTTGAACAGCTTTTCTAAATCTTAAAATAATGAAGTCTTCCTGCAATCACAGGTCTTACTTTAGCTAACGCACTATTTCTTTTCTCCCCTTTGAAGTGAAACCTCATAATATGTTGTCTATATTTGTTACCTTCATTTCCTCCTTCCACCCCCACTCTTCAACCCACTACAATCTGGCTTCCACCCCGTCACTCCCCTGAAACTGTTCTCACTAGGACCACTAATGACCCTGTTGTCAAATTCCAGTAATATCATTTTAGTTATTATCTAACTTGACCCTTTTTTCCCCAGCTGGTGATTCTTTCCTCCTGTATCTAAACAATTCTCTTTCCTTGGTATCCAAATATTGCTATCTCTAGGTTATTTTCCTACCTCTCTGGCTAATCCTTCTCAGGCAACTTCCTCTGTTTCTCATTAAATGTCAGTGTTTCCAGTCACTCTTCTCATTATAGACTTCTTTAGGGATTTGATTTACACCTCAAACTTCATCTCCCATCTGTATATGAATAACTCCCAAGTCTGCATCTCCAGCTTAAATCTGTCTCCAGAATTATAGACCCATTTACCCAGCTGTTTACATTCAACCCCACAAATAATGACACCCCCTTTTTCAAAGAATTCAGTGGCTCCCCTTAACCTTCAGGATAAAGTTTAAACTCATAAGTGTGGTATCCAAGGCCTTTCTCACTCTTATCTCTCTGCACTTCACCCCTCCAACTCCATGCTCTACCCACTCTACACCTGCAGTCCCCACACAGACTTTTGCCTCCGAGTCATTGCACATGTTCTTCCCTTTTCAAGGAATATTTTTTTTTGCTACCCCTTATTTTCATGGCCTGACAAACTATGACCTGCCCTTGAGGACTCAGCATAGATATCACCTTTTCTGGGATTTCTTCACAGTTAGGTTTGGTCTCCCCACCTTGAATGCTCCTCAGCATCCTGTAGGTCCCACCTCCTAACATTTATCACGTGGCACTGTGGTAACCTATTTATTTTACTTACCCCCAAATGAAGTCACTTTTGCTGTTTCTTCATATTAAAAATAATGCATGCTCAATATAAAAATAAAAAGACAACCAAAAAGAGTATTAAAAAGTCTGATAATCCCGCCCACCTATTTACTGCCAGCCACAGGATGTTGCTCTAGGTGCTGCAAGGAATAAAGGCATGAATAAGGCATGGTGCCCAACCACAGCAGAGGGAGAAAATTGTTGGGGGGAGGGTTTATTGAGTGCTGGGACATGCCAGGCAGCACCTGGGGGCTTTGCCTGTGCTATTTCTCACGTGTGTCCCCAACCAGACTGAAAACTCACTGAGGGCAGTAACTGTATCCTTGTCTTTACTGCCAACTCCAGCATCTGGCATGAAATAGATCCTTAGTAAACACCCAAATAAAGAGTGTGCAGTATGCTGATGAATGACAATTATCACTACATTAAAAAATGACAATTATCACTACATAAAAAATAGGTAAAGACTCATTTATTCCTGTTTGGATGAAAGAAAGATTATGGCACTAGAAACTTAAAAAGCCGTTCCAGCAAGACTCCTACCCTACTGAATCTAAGAAGATACCAGACACCAGTGGTTATTTTCACAGTCACAGAGCACAGGCTTGCTGATTTTTTTCTATTCTAAAGCCCACATTCCTCTCTTAATATGCTATTTCCACCCTCCTCCCCCAGCAAAATATTATACATACATGCATACATGCACACACATAGATATAATAGCTGCATTGCATTGAAAAGCTAATGGAGAGATGTTAATACTAGCTATGTCTGCGTGGGTAGGATTATCAGACTTTTTAATACTCTTTTTGCTTGTATTTTTATTTATATATTGAGCATGCATTATTTCTAATAAGAAGAAACAGCAAAAGTGACTTCATTTGGGGGTCACAATCTGCAGTAACATGAAGTAGAACTGATAAACATAAGCTGAGCAATGATACTGTTTTTTTGAGATGGAGTCTCTCTCTGTCACCCAGGCTGGAGTGCAGAGGCAGGATCTCAGCTCACTGCAAGCTCCACCTCCCGGGTTCATGTCATTCTCCTGCCTCAGCCTCCTGAGTAGCTGGGACTAGAGGCGCCCGCCACCACGCCCAACTATTTTTTTTTTTTTTTTTTTTTTTGGATTTTTAGTAGAGATGGGGTTTCACCACGTTAGCCAGGATGGTCTCAATCTCCTGACCTCATGATCCACACACCTCAGCCTCCCAAAGTGCTGGGATTACAGGCATGAGCCACCACGCCCAGCTGAGCAATGATACTTTTAAGAGGAGATTACAACTGGGGACATGGAGAGAACAGTGTAACACAAGGAAAGTTTTAATTTAATTCAATCCATAGGCCTTGATCACCTGCCAGCCACAAGATGTTGCTCTAGGTGCTGCAAGGAATAAAGGCATGAATAAGGCATGGTGCTCCACCCCAGCAAGGGGAGAAAAGTGTCGGGTGAGCTTTTATTGAGCGCTGGGACATGCCAGGCAGCACCTAGGGGCTTTGCCTGTGCTATTTCTCATAATCCTCACAACGATCCTATGAGGTAAGTATCACAATCCTGTTTTTGTAGACGGGGAAACTGAGGCATAGAGCGGTCTATTGACAGACCCAAAAATCACTGTTAGTAAACCAAGATTTAAACCTATGTTATTTCTGATTTCATCCCTTTGCACCACACAAAACTGGATTTGTGAAGTATCTCTTAAGGAAGGTGTGAGTACAGTAGGGCTTCTATTAGTGGTTTGGGGAAGGCTTTCTGGAAACCCCACGTGGTCTAGACTTCAAGACGGGGGTGTGAATATGGGAGAAGAGCTATATCATGAACCTCAGGGAGGGGCAGCATCCTTTGGGAAGATGATACTGCACGTACCACAGCCTGGATGGGGTCCAAGAGTCAAGTGGGGGTGGCGGGTCTCCCAGCCCTATCACAGGAGGTGGGAGCAGAGCAGTGGGCCCACTAAGACTGGAAACTAGGAGTTACCAGGCTCACAAAGGGGTGGAAAACAGGAGCCAGAGGCAAGCACTCCAAGAGCGTGGTCACCGATGAAGGACATAGCAGGACAAGCAGGAAGTAGCTCGGATGCCAGCAGCGATCTGCTGTGGTGAGGGCCTTTTGGAAGGTCCATGTTCCCACCAGCCTGCTATCACCAGGATTTGGAGCCTGGCATCTGATGGGAAGAACATTCCAATCAGAAGAAAGACAGTGAGAAAGGGTATGACAACTTGAAGCAGTTCATGGTTTGTTAACAAAAGCAGAGATATTGGGTGTGGTGAGATGTTGAAGAGTTATCAGCAGAAAAACCATAGTTTTCTGGGAGTTATTTTCTTAATTCCGCCCACGGCCATTGTTACCAATGTTGAGGGGCCGGTGAGTGTGTGTGGGTGACAATGAAGACTTGTGTTCATCAATTTATTGGTGAATCTTCCCGCTCCTGTGGTTCCAAGACTGTTTTTTGACCCTGGTCATACAAATATAAACAACCATCCAAGGGCCAGTAATATAATTTGCAGAGCCCAGCGCAAAACGAAAACATCAAGCTCCTTGTTCAAAAACCAGAGAGGGAAATAGGGCCATGAAGGGTCACCAAAGCATAAAACTTTTTTCTTCCATAATTTTTCTTTTTTTTTTTTTAACTAGTCACGATGTTTTTAATTTGATATTTAATGTCATTTTAAGTAAAGAAATATTTTAAATTTAATTATTAGTATGAATTTTACTATTCTTTATGTTGCATAGTGTTAGTTGTAAATGAAAATAAGTGCCTTTGACTCATAAGTGGAATCATTGAAATTACACAGTTCATATTTCCTAGCTCTTACTTGCATATGTATTTTGTTCTTACCAGAGCAGCGGGAACACTGCACAAAACTAACTCAACTGTTTTAATTTTACTTCTTGATAATGTGCATGTTCCATCAATACTCTTGACCTTCAGCTTACTGATGAGTAAGGAAGGGCTGAAAGGAAAAGGAACTATGAGTTGTCCTGTCTTTCCCTTTCCTTCTGTGACATCATTTTCAGCGTTAAGTGGCTGGTTAATACAGGGAATTAATGAGTAAGAAGGATATGATAGGGTTCCTCACTTGTCCACGTTTCTTAGAAAACCATTGCTTTCTTTCTATGCAAAGCAAGCTCTGGTTCAAATGGAAGGCACGGCCCGTCGGGCTATCAGCACCCCTGATTACTCAATTACATATGTAATACACTTAACCTTGCACCACTTTCAGTCTCCTGGAACTCCCACGCACTGTGGTTCCACCAGAATTCTGCATTTGTCAGACATGGCAAATGCTATATGCAAACAGGGCAGCAAGAAACAACTGCGTGAGTCCATCTGTTCCAGTCTGGTGTCCCCTTGCTCCTGGGCCTGTCCCTTTTCCTGGAGCATGTTGTTAGTTCTCATCTCTAGCTCCCTCCTCAACCTCTGCCTCACAGGACCCATCAGCGGTGTCAGCCTTCCCCTCACCTCAGACACACCACCTCCCAGGCAGGGAAGGAGAGCTCAGGCACCAGTGCTCAGCATTCAGTCAGAATATACACACACACCCCACACATACACCACACCCTACACACACCCCATACACATCGCACTCTACACACACATCTCACTCTCCACACACACATCTTACACACACACACACACCCTGCACCCATACCATGTACACATACACGTATACCACACCACACCCTACACACACATCACACACACACACACACACAGCTTACACACCTCATACCCTACACACACACATCTCACTCTCCACACACACCTCATCCTAACCTCAGGTCATAACACACACATGCAGCTCATGCCACACTCTCCACACATACATCCCCACATACACACACCACAACCTACACACACACACACACACACACACCACGTGCCATTTGATTGTCCTTCCATTCTTATCACTTTACTGAAACTGCACTTTGAAAGATCATATCATAAATCCAACAATTGTTTACATCTTATTCCTTGATCACCTTGACGCAATTGCTACTGTTGGCTAGTCTTTTGTTCCTCAAAACCCTCTCCTTTGCTTCCATTATACTGAACAATCCTTGTTCTCCCATGTCTGTAGGAGCATTTCTGAATGAATCTTAACTCCTCTGCTCCTGGCCATGGGTTTCCCTCAAGACTCAGGTCTTAGCCATCAATTCTCTTCCCACCTTCTTAATTCACATCATTCTCAGCCCTTGGCTGATGGCCCCCAGATCTGTGTCTTCCAGCTCAGCTGCCTTCCAAAATCAGTCTATTAGCATCAACCTGAAGCACTGTGCCTCTCTGGGTCTCAGTTTCCTAACTGTGAAATGAAAGTTTGAATTGAATGGTCTCATGCTAGACCCCAAGATTAAACTCTTCCTTCTGATTGCCCTAATTCATTGAAACCTCAACCTGAAAACACCAATATTCACCCAGTTCACTTTCATAGCTCTTGCTGTCCAGAAAATTAAGCTGAGGCAGGCTTCTTTTACATTAGGATCTGGGCCCACAGTCTTCCGTCTTGGGTCTTTGGTGAATTTTTTTTTACTGTTTCTCCTCTTCAGAACAAAGAACACCTGACAATGAAAGGAAACCTCAGGTCATAACACACATTCTAGTAGGCAAATTACAGGTCTGTAGCTTAACCAATTTGTCTTGGCTACAGCTTAAGCAATGAGTCTATGTTTATATGGTTGTTTATTGCTATTCTCATATATTTGTTCCCCAAGGATTAGCTGATTTACTCAGCCCCAGTCTTCAAAAGACTTAATTCTTCCCTGATGGGCACCACACTTCAGCCCAATAGGTCCTTTCTGCAGCCACCTCTCCCTCAGCCCGGGAATTCTCTGGCTTCCCCACCCCCCGTCCAATTTCCCCAACAGTCTGTTTTCCGGAACTTTTTGCGGTGCACTACATTTTCCTAAACCTGAATTAATCACCCACTTTTTATCCTTCAGAACCTACAACAACCCAAACAGCTTTCCTGGTTTGTGGAGTTGTCAACAGACTGACAAACCATCCAGATCATAAAACCAACAAGTAGGAATCTCAGCTTTTTAATTAATTTCCACAAAAATTTTTTTAATCTAGAGGAAAGGCAGGGGGAATGTGTTTGACATTTTGTTCTAAATTGGGAGCATAGCTTTTTGTTTTTGTTTTTGTTTTTTCAAAATTATAGTCAGGTTCAAATTATGAATCATCAAGGGCTAATTAATTCTCTCAATCCTTCTCTTTTACCTTCTGTATCCAGTTGGCCACACAGGCCTGCCCGGTGACCCTCACTTCAAATTGTCTCTCATACGTACCTCTTCCTTTCCATTCTCAGAGCATCCCACTGGGTCGCTGTCACAGTCCCGTGACTGGTCTCCTGTCTCTGTCCCTCCTCTGACCCACGGTGCAGACCCCTGCCAGACAATCTTCCTCAGACATTGCTTGCCTGGGGTTCCATCCCCATTCCAGCATCCTCACTGGTTGACTCCCCGGGTGTCCAGAACTGAGTCCAGTCTCTGTCACTGGCTATAGTAGGGACAGAGTGAAGTGGTGGGGAAAGCATGAGTTTGGCAATTCTCAAGCTCCCACCTGCCAGTTATGTGACTTTGGAATACTTCAACTTTTGGAGTCTGTTTTCTAAATGAGAATCATGATATATAACCCCTAGGACTGGGGGAGTCATTATATGGGATAATATACATAGAGTGTGTATACACATTAGTGCACAGTGCTTCTAAAGCATTTAGTTGGAATTCCACCAGTGTAAGTTCTTCCTGTTGTCTGCCCTCTCCAAGCTCTCATCCTGATGCCAGATGGTGATTTGCCTTGTATAGCTCTTAAAATCTTTCATATATAGATGTACCTCATCTCTGCAGCCAGGATGGACTTTTGAAAGTTGGGGCCATGATTTATAGTTATTTGAAGTCCCTGTTAAAGCATACACCAGAAGTCCAACAAATAATTATGTAATCAAAACAAAAGCTGCAGTTGTGGTATCATTGCGTTGAGGCATGAGGGTGTGTCTGGGGAGCTTCCTTCTTTGGAAAGTGTTTTTCTGAGGCTGGTGTTAGAATGAGTTTCCACTTCCTAAGTACTTTCTGACCAGCCTTGCGTGGCAGAAGCATGGGATGGGGCTGTGAAGAGGGAATGTGAGCTAGGGATGAAACACTAGTTACTACATCCTCTCTTGTCTTTCTCTTGATTTCAGGGCCCTTGTCTGATTGGGAGCTCCCAAACTGAGCCACATCTCTTTTTTTCTCCCTCTTCTCAGTTCCTCACCAACACCCAGGAAGCACTTTGGCTGTGCATTGTTTGGGAAGAAGAGTCTATGCTGTACAACATGATAGATGTTTAACAGGAACCCTGGAGTAATAGTAACTCTCCCATTAATAACCCACATACATGCCCATCTTTCAGAAGGTGGTGTGGTACAGTGGAAGGATACTGACTACTAGTCAGGGCAACAGTTCTAATCCCCACTTTCACTGCATGGCTGGCTTCAAGTTCGATCCCACTTAGCTATTGTGTCAGGCCACTGTTTAAGAGATAAGGTCCAATCAGTGAAAAACAGCATCCATGCCACAAGGTTCAAAAGAGACAACTTATAGAGGAGTCAGTATCACTGGTTGTAGAAGATCTGAAAGAGCAAATGGGAGGGTGAAGCAGCTCCAAGACTGGCAACTCCAGGAAGCTGCTCCTAACTCTAGAACTAGAGATAGAGGGAAGGGTGGTGTTTCTTTAGCCCTGGGCAATGCCACACAAGGGGAGCTGGAACCAAGGCAAAGACTGCCCAGCATGGGCTGGGGCCACAGAAGAGATGCTCTTAAGATGCTGCTCCCTGGCTTCCCCAATTCTCTTCATCTCCACTCTTCTGCCACTGCCTCTCATTCACCTAGAAGCCAGGGGAAAAGGGAGCCTGAAAAATGTCATTTTCAGGGACTGATCCCTGGGATACGGAACAAAGCAGGGGAAGGGCATTGAAAGATAACTACCAATGATTTGCACATCTGTACAAATCATTGGTGTTTGCTCACACCCCACCCCATTATTTCCAGCAGCCCCTACAAGCTACCCCAATAAGTAATGTAACTTTAAAGAATGTTTTCTGCTCAAGTTTATCGTTAAAACAAGTCTGCTAACTCCTTTTTCCAATCAAAGCATCACCCTTAAGTTCCTCCATAGAAATTCTTGAGCTGGTGCCATCACTGCCATCTCCAGCCTCACTCCACTGTCTATAAAGTAAGGAGGGCGGTAATGCCTCGGGACTCTGTGATTTGACCTCTTCCCCAGACTTCTGCTGGCTCAGCTGTCACAGCCTGGCTCTGACAAAGCCTCAGAACTCAATTGCCATGTGAAGCTGGACTTGGCCAGTCAATCATTTTTCATGCAACTCTTGAAGGTCACAGAAGCTGGAGGTTTTCAATTATGAGCAGACTGGGTGTGAGGATACAAGGGAGCTGCCAGGAAATGACAAGTGGTTGGCACAGCCTTTCTAGGCTGGGGCACGTCCCAGATGCAGTGATAAATGCGCTTAGCCTCTTTGGTTGGCACCAACATGTCAGTCCTTGATAAAGAGCTCACCAAACATTTTGCTAATATCAACAAGGATAAACAGGATAGGATTTCAACTCCATTTAAAACACACACCTGGGAGTAATCTGAACAGACAAGGTGAGGAGGGAGGCCCTGAAGGACATGCATCGCCCATGTGTCCTTCCTGCTGTCTTATTTGAGTTTTCCCTCCTGTTCATTCAATTTCTCTAAAGTAATCAGTCCTATTTGTCTCAGCTAGAAGGGATTCCATAGGGAATGAATGACAGGGAGAAGACTGATGAATTTATTGTCCTCAAACCCAGAACAGACACAAGGGAGTGATTCAGCTGGAAACAGACTGTGGTAGTTTTGAAAGCCATTTGGAGAAGTTTGGGAAAGTTTCTGAGAACAGAGGAGCGATTGGGTGCTTTTAAAGAGGGGAGTCGCATAATAATAGTAGTAGTATTTTAAGAAGAGAAACCCAGCGGCACTTTGTTACTGGGTAGACTGGAGGTGCTGGAGGTAGAGAGGGCAGAGGCAGAAGGACCCTCAGGAAGGCACTTTGGAAATCCATCCAGGTGGTGAGGAAGCACAGGATAGGGACAGGGTGGGGAGAAAATGTCTGATGGGAGGACTTGGTTAGTTTAGATTGATCATAAGCTCTTAGGAGATGCTCACACAAGGCACTAGACTACAGTAAGAAGACTGTACTAAAGCAAGACTTATTCATCTCAAAAGGGACAGCTAATGTGATGAGCTTCTTAATGAAGTGATAATAGAGATATTAACCTGGTCCAGGACTTAGCAAGAGAGTAGGAAGTATTCCCATGCTCTGTAGTTTCCATGTTGATAATTTCAAGCTCTAAACGATCTCTAAAGATCATTTTTCACCCCCAGTCTCTTCCCCTTGGCCATTCACCTCAAGATTTGAGCCAAACCAATACTTGGGACTGGCATTTTTGTTTTCGAGGGAGAGATACTGGACAGAGTGAGATACTCTACTTGCTCCTCGCAGGATTAAGAAGGGGATTCTCCTTGGAGCAGTCCACCTAACTGGCCAAGTGATTGAAGGAAGCAGGAAAGCCAGTTTCCTGAGAAGCTGCAAAGTAGAAGGAAACCCGTGAGGGTGACTTGCCCTCATGGCGTTTCTCTGAGGGGAGAGAGAGGTGGTGTGCAGGTGCTAACAGCCACCAGGGCAATGGCCACCAGGGCAACGACCTGCATCCTCCCTTTCCCCAGCTGAAATGTTGTGAGTCACTGATCATATCTCTGAGCAATCTGAGATTTTAAGAATAAGAGAGAGAGAATTTTAATCTTATGGGAAAAGAAAAAATCAAACAGATTAAGACCTAAATCCCTCCAGAGGGAACAGCACGTAATGGGATCAAACAGCACTCGAGACTCAAGGCTGCTGCGGTTCTCGGGCAGAGGACAGGACCCACTCAAAACATTGGGTTTCATATTTCTATTTAGGGTGGTTTTCCCTTTTATCACTGAGTGGGTCACAGTGCGGATTTACAGTGTACAGGAACAGGAGGCCTTGCCAGAAGTTTATGGAAGAAAGGAGACCAGTACTGATCTGCTGGTATAGATGAGTGCTGCCCACACTAAGCAATCTGCAGACACCCCTGCCTGACCTGGCCTTTCTGTTTTTCTAGAATATCCTTTCCCTTCATTCTTTGTTCTCATGGGCCAATTCCCACTCATCATTCAGTATCCCTCTCTGGAGTCAGAATGCCTAATTTCAAACCTAAGCTCCATTTGTTTACATGTCTGACTCCCAAGCCAGACTTCAAGCCCTTTAAAAGGAGAGAACTACATTATGTTCCTTAAATCCCTGTACCCAGCACAGGGCCTGACACCTAGGACTTTCTCAGGGAACAGCTGATAAATGTGTAATTAGGAAGCTAAGAGCATTAATTCTGCAACTGAGCTGTCCTGATCCTACCACACACTGACTGTGTGACCCGGGGCAACTTTCTTAACTTCTTTGTGCCTCAATTTCTTCATCTTGAAAAAGGGGATAATAACAACATCTCACATGGTTGATGTGAGGATGAAAGGAGTTCAGAGGCAGTACTCAATAAAAGTTAGCTATTATTATCATCAGCACTATCATTGGCACCTCAGATGAATTATTAGCCATGTTTTTTTAAAGAGCTACACATTAAACATAATGGGTTAGTTAATAATTCCTCTTCAGTGCTATGGCTTGTGATGAACTTGTGATTAAGTGAATTAATGATAACACAAACAAATTATAATTCAGGATTTCCTGCACTAATTTGGCCTAGACATAAGATGAGCCCTAGAGAGCCAAATTGGCTCATTTATCTCTGCTCTAAGAAGGCCCCATAGTGAAGGGGAATCATTCACCAAGAAGTGCCATCAACGAGGGAATTTGTTTTTGAACAAAAATGATTGGGCTATTTTTCAACCTCAGCTTCAGGTGACACATTTTTATTTTGTCTCAGTCTGAAGAAAACAAAGATTTTAGAAAAAAAAAATCATGTAGGAAGTGGCAGAAAACAAACATTATAGGATACATGGAAAGTCAGCACCCACTGGAACAGAGAGGTAAAGTACCAGACCTAGTTTACGGCCAAGTCACCACAACTAACCGTCTTTTGTTCTGGGAGTTTAGAGCCAAGATTTCAAGGAAACCTCACTTATTCCACAATAAGATAACCTGACCTATATGCCAAGCTTCCAATTATGCACATGTATAACAAGCATCTCAAGGTCAGGGAGTGGGATTTTAACTTCTCTGTGTCTTCTGTTGAAACAATAATAATAACTACCATTTATAGAGTGTCTAGGACATGCCAAACATTATGCTAAGCACTGAACATTGATTGCTTCATATTCTCCTCACAAAAACCATATAAGGAAGATTCTAAGCTCTCTTTTACAGATGAGTCAACAGATGCACAGTGACTTACCCTTGGACACACAGCCAATGAGGCTCTGAATGCAGACAATATATCC